TGCTCTGTCCCAACCTGCTCAGACACCGGTGACATCTCCTCATGGCCCGGGGACGAAGCCCACACTCTCTGCTCCAGGCTGTAGTCCGTTCTGCTCCCCTCGGCATCCCTGAGGACGGCCCCGCCGCGGGCTCCCCAACGTGCATCCGGGGCCCCCTCGTGCCAATGCCAGTGCAGGGACACCCTCTGCTCATATTCTTGACCTCTCCCGTTCCAAGTCAGCTCTCAAAGTCTGGTTCAAGCGACAGGCCATCATGCCTTCTCCTCAGTTGATCGACTGAACGGCTTCCTCCTTCGATCCCTAAAATCGGGGCCCCTCGCACAACGTTTTCAAAGATCGGGGCCTAAATCTGCTTGTCACCACCCCTTCCGCCTTGTGCCGGCACAGCGCGTGGCCGTGGCATGCCTTGAGCCACAAACAACAGGCATTTGGTTGTGGTTGGCTCCCTGAAACTCGTGACAGCTGTCCATAGAAGGTGAAGATTTTTTTTTTAAATTTTGTTGATGTTTTAATTTATTTTTGAGACAGAGAGAGACAGAGCATGAGCAGGGGAGGGGCAGAGAGAGGAGGAGACACAGAATCGGAATCAGGCTCCAGGCTCTGTGCTGACAGCTCGACGCGGGGCTCGAACCCACGGACTGTGAGATCAAGACCTTAGCGGAAGTCAGACGCTTAACCAACTGAGCCACCCAGGCGCCCCAAGAATTTTTAATGAGGCATTGTTACGGGTTGGATTGTGCCCGCCCCAAGATTCACACACCACAGTCCTAACGCTGGTTGTCTCAGAATGTGACCCGATATGGAAACAGGGTCGTTGCGGATGTAATTATTAAGATGAGGTCCTACCTGGGCCTTGATCGGATCTAACAGTGTCCTTGTAAAAGAAGCGGGGGGGAGGGGTGGGGGGGGACGGGATTGGGGCACAGACGCCCTCACAAGGAGAAGGTGGTGTGAAAGTGGAGGCAGAGATTGGGGTGATGTGTTCACAAGCCAAGGAACATAAATAAGGGTCTCCCAGAAACCCCTGGAAGGTGGGAGAGGAAGCCTGTGGCAGAATCCCCCTCTGTCTCCACGGGCGCCCCCCCCCCCCCCCGGCGGACAGGCCCGTCGGGGGCTGCTAACCCCCAGACCTGGGGGACAAGAAGTTTCTGTCCTTTCCCAGTGCACCGCATCGTCAATGGGCTGGCTGAAAGGTCACAGGGACAACAGGGAGCTTCCTCAGCGGGAGCCGCAGGGAGCAGCGGCCCCGGGCCCCAGGGAAGGAAGCAGGAAAACTTCGCGGGCCTCCCCGAGGCAGAGAGGCTGCTGGGAAACACGCTGGTCTGGCTCTGGGTGCTTGCAGCCCCCCAGACCGTTCACACCTGCTGCTCCCAGGTGAAGTGGCACTCTGGGCGGGGCTGAGGTCACAGCCTGTGATGGAGGGGTGGCAAGGCAGGCCCCACACCCCCTGCTGGCGGAGTCTACACGGAGGTGAGGCCTGCAGGGGCCCGGCTTCACACAGTGGAGGCGGAAGGGGGGCGCTGAAGCTGGCATAGCCCTCCTCACTCGCACTTCTGCCGTCGGTCTGCGGTAGGTGCTCGAACGAGGTTCGTCCGACTGTCTAACTTACCTCAGACACGTATTTTGGATTTTTATTTAGACAACTGTCTGCTTTGTCTTTGCTCCACTCACAGCTCGTTGTTTAGAGTAGCCCAGCACAAATGTTTGCTAAGGGGATGCAGGGGGGAATAAAGAGGCAAAACGAAGCGCAGGAGGGCGGGAGGGGGGTCCGGCGGCCCGGGCAGCCGATGCTGGTGCTCGCCCCCCTCCCCCCACCCCCCCACCCCACGCCATGAGGTGGCCCAGGGAGGGGGGCAGCAGGGGCTCCTGCGGGATTTGGAAGGGGACGGTGGGAGGGAGGGGCCCATCAAGGGATCCGCAAGTCTGTCTGCCCGCGGCCCAGCATGCAGACGGCTGAACCGCGCGACGAGGTTCTAATTCCGGATTTATTACACACTTGCCGAGTGACCTCAGACAAACCACTTAACTCAACCCTGGAGATAATGTCGCGCGGTCTTCAGCTTGTAAAATGATCACCGATGTTCTCCCACCGCCTCACCGCCATAGTGATAATGCATTTGCTGGCAGTGAGGCACGGCCGCTGATGGGACAGGGTCCCACTCCGAGTGTCCGTTTTCTCAGTGACTCTTTCTCGGCGAAAGCCTGACCTGCCGACACCGGGCCGCAGCCGGGGGACACGGGCAGACTGCATCATGGCCTTCGCTATTGTAGATTTCCTCTTTTCTGAAACCTGGGAAACGGGTCCTCACTGACCCCTCTGAAACTTTCCCGCCCCAAATGGCATGGAGAGGGTGACGGTGCATCTGGTCATGGAACGGGGAGGCACCTGTCTCCTCGCACGGGGTTATCCCTCCCCCCCCCCCCCACCTCAGCCCTGCACTTGCTGCCTGCCTGGGACACAATGCAGAGAAGCAGGAGAAGTCTCGTGGGGCTCAGGATAAAAGTCAGGTTCCAAAAGTGTTTACTGCAGATCTAAGTCTCTTCCTGACTGGACAGTTTACAAACCGTGCAAATTTGAAAGGCCTTTTAGAGTTGAACGGTCTCAGGGCGGCCAAATCTAATCTTTGATAATAACCAACACTAAAGAGTATTACAGTACGGAGCATGATACCCCACTCACCCCTTCCTATTTGCGTTTTGGTTTTAATGAAGGCGACCTCATTTTCTTTAACTTGGAAGAGGGGGAATATTTATGGCTTCTCACGAGATCTTTGTCCCCAGACTGAAGGCTGTGTCCCCGTGTCAGAAATGAACGGAGCTTTAGCTAATGAACCCTTATGCCGTTTGGGCTGAAGCGGGGGAAGGTGGCCCTGGATGGTGTTGTGGGCTGAGTTGTGTCTCCCCTAAAATGCACATGTTGGGGACCTTACCCTCAATGCATCGAAATGTGACCGTATTTGGACATTATACCTTTAAAGATGTGATTCGGTTAAAATGAGGTCAGTAGGGTGGCCTGGGATCGAATCTGACTGGTGCCCTTACAAGGAGGAAGTTGGCGCACAGAGACATCAGCGGTGTGGGCACAGAGGAGAGGCCATGTGAGGACACAGACAGGAGGGGGTGTCTGCACAGCAAAGAGAGAGGCCTCCGGAGAAACCAAACCTGTGACATCTCAATCATGGACTCCCAGCCTCCAGCGCTGTGAGAAGATAAACCTTCCTCATTGAAGGCGAGTCTGTGGTGTTTTGTTATGATAACTGAGCAGCGTGAAAAGTCCAGCAAGATTCTCAAGACCTTTTCTAAGCTTGGTTCTGCCATTGGCTGCATCCGAGAAAGAACGATCTTTGGCCAAAAGGATGTTAGACCTTCCTTCCTTCAAAGAAGTGAAACCTCTGCCCCCCCACCCCCCCACCCCCCCATTCGGCGCGTGGGGCTCCTGTCCTGGGGGCTTTGGGTCAGTGCACTGAAGGTCCCATATTAAAATGTAAATATTCTCTGTGCAAAAGACTGAGCTCACCTATCACTGTCAGTTAACAAGCACTCTAGGTCCAATTAGGAGCTATGATTAGCCTGCCAATCACTCAGCTTACTCCCAGGACTGGGCCACAAGCCATGTGGGTTTTCACTGGAAGGTGGGGGGCAGGGAAGATGGGTCTTGGCAGCTTTCATCAGCATGAGGCCTTCAGGAGCTGGGAGGCACGCGAAGGAAGGGCACCTACAGGGATTCAGAAGTTAGAGAAAAGACACTTCCTGACCCTGGGGTTTTGCCCAGATCGGCCTCCTTCTTGGTCGCAGGGGTGTCGTGTTCTCTGGGTCAAAGTGTCTTCTGGAAATGTGTCGGGGAGAAGAGCCACCAAGCCATCACCACCTTCCACATTGACACACACTTGAAGGTGGTACAACACCGGGGACCAGAAAGGCCTGAAGCCTCATGATCCTTCTCGTTTCTCTTGCACGGGAGAGGAGGGACGGACCCGGCCAAGAACCACAACCTCTGGCTCTTCTGGAGACAGCCTTGGTGCCAGTAAGGTGGAAGGAGACGTCGGAGCGAGAGCCCGTCAGGGACCCTCCGTCTAGGGATGTTTTCTCTTTCCTCCCTTAGGCCGATTTCATACCTCGGATTTTGTTTTTCTACCAGAACAGTCCTGGAAAATGCTGGTGGATCCCATGAATCTTCTGAACCTCTGAGAAACCTTCTCCCGAACTCCCGGAGCGTCCCCTGTTGGGCATTTTTTGTTCCACTGATGTCCCTTAAGGGAACAGATTTTAACCTCTCCACCAGTGACTTCTGGGGCACACGTTTTTCCGAACCCTGAATGCACAACACTTTCTGCCTCGGATGTTGTGTGGGTGGATATTTGTCAACTGATACTTCTAAAAGGTATTTCTAGTAGGTAGGTTTAATCTTTTATAATATAAGTGATTGAGGGCTGATAGGAAGTCATGGGAGGTAGAAGACGGTCTGGTCTAAATTTCAAACAGTTCTTGAAGAGTCAAACATAAAGATGCCATTTCCTGTTTTCACCTTTTTCCATCCCACACATATCACTCCCTTTGAGGGTTTTACTAGCAAATCATCTTCGGATTTGCTTAGATCTGAGAAACGTATTATCATTCCTCAGCTATTATCTCATGTCCTTTCTGGTTCTTATTGTCAGTTGTTATTTGGAAGAATATGCAAAGTAAATTCATAAATAAGTTTAAAAGATGTATTCATGTAGATCTGGTTCTTTTGGAAGAAAGGTACTACCTGTAGCCATAATTGAATGTGACTAAGTTTATATGATATTTTTTGTAATTTTTTTAATGTTTGTTTATTTTTGAGAGACAGAGAGAGACAGAGTGCGAGTGAGGGAGGGGCAGACAGAGAGGGGGACACAGAATCCGAAGCAGGCTCCAGGCTCTGAGCTGTCAGCACAGAGCCCGACGCGGGGCTCGAACTCACGAACCTTGAGATCATGACCTGAGCCAGGGTCGGACACTTCATCGACTGAGCCATGCAGGAGTCCCAAATTTATATTACAATTTAACCACTATTGGTTGTTGGGACACCCAACTGCACAATGCACAGTTATGATACACATCAGGGATACAGGAGAGAAACAAGAAATTAACAATTCTTATCGACGTGTTGTACTTTCTTATAAGCTCATTCTTACTTAGATGGACACTATATTAATACTATTTAATATTTATGTGATAATAGTGCCCGAATCTGCAATTAAAGTAAATTATTTGATTGATGAAATATTAATGAAAATGACAGTGGAATTCAATCCAGCAGATTTCAGGCGTTCTTATTTCCTGGTCTCTCTTCAGTGAGTGGGCGAAGCATTTCCTGCTGCCTCCCTCACCCTATCCGTTCATTCCTCTGCTGAAATTCCATCACACAGGGACAGACGATTCTGTCCATCACACGGGATAGAGGAGGAGAAGCAGTCCGCTCCTGCCTGTAGCCACTTAGCCACAGAAAAACACAGAAATCATGTTAGACTTCCAGCACGTCACCCTCCTCCCTTGGCTGGGATTTCAAACTTGGCATTAGCTGCAAAAATCGTTAGCATTACCGAGAGACAAGTCAACTTGTGAGCCTCCCAGAAAGGGCGGCGTGGCCTGGAGTTCTGGGCTCTTGCTTTTGGAAACCAAGAGGCAAGGAGATACTTCCATGGTTTGGGAATGAAGGGTTAAGGTCAAAGTCTGGGCCTTGGTACCTTCCATTCCCATGAGGTTTGATGAGCCCAGAAAGGCTTCCTGCTGCTATTGTGGGTGCCTCTGGGACACAGTGGAGCTGGGCGGGAGTTTTGCTGAAGGATGTGCCCTTCATTGCAAATACTAATCATAAAATGAGCCCTCTAATAGACAGCTGTCATCGTGCAGCAGAAAAAAGGAAACTGCCACTGAAAGCAAAATGCAGGAAGTTTAAAAATAGGCTCAGGTGGCAAGGTAGAGGATGCTAATTTCCAAAAGGATGTGGGCACAGACAGAATCTGTGCATGCTCTCCCGGCACCCTTCCGTATCAGAGTTTTTGTGCGGGTAGCACATTAACAGTTAACAGTTACACACTCAAGGAGTTAAAATATAAACCTTAACACATGACTGCTTTTAAGCTGTAACGTCCTTATAACAGAAGTTCTTATCGGAGGTCTGCACCGCACTTGGCAAACAAGACATTCTACCTTTTAAACAAATAATTCATTAGGTAATTAAATTCAAGTGAGATTACTCTAATTAAATACACACTGCTGTTGAATCATAATTTCTATGTGGTCTAGTTAAAGATGAACAATCTCTTACTCCTGACAAAAAAGAAAGCTTTAAAAGAATTCCCCCGTGGCTGGCGGGATAGATTTACAGGCACTCCACAGAGGTCATTTCAAGAAGGAAGAGACAGCCAGCACAAGGGGGCGGGGGTGTGGGGAGGCGGTCCTCATGCCTGGAGATTCCAGAAATTCGGGCTGTCTGCCTTGGGTCCTGTTTAAAGGCTCCACGGAACCTGACAGGTGCCACAGTGATCTTCCGGGGGAGCTAGGTTAATTGCACGCGGGCTCCAGCCTCGCCCACTAGGCCCAAGGACCGCAGGACTCGGGCAAAATGAAAAGTCACTTTGCCCCCCACGCCGTGCTCTGTGCGGCTCCCTCTACTGGAATTAGGAACCCAGCACGCGGGCTTGGCGCTCACAGGGGCGCAGAAGTCCCCGCTGGCTTTGGTCTGCGCCTCTTGGCTGCCAGGAGCCGACAGTGGGCTGTGTGGTGCCCGCTCTCATTTGTCAGACGCGTGTTTCCGAGTGTTCCCAAGCCAGCAGCTACACCTGTACTGCGAGAATTTACATCGCCTTGCTCCGGGATGGCATTGATTTGGGACGGGTGAAACACAAACACAAACTAATTAAAAACTGCATAATGGAGCCCTACAGGAACACGGTAGAAAAACAAATAAATACAAGTGCAGCTGGCTCCGCGATTGTACCTCTGCCCCCGAGCGACCGTCTGGTGACATCGAATTATAAGCCCTGAAAACCCTCACACCGCTGCTGTTGATCACATTGGAGGCATAATGGAAATGATTTGGTTAATTAAGGGGAGGCTTATAAAATATTTACGTGTGTGCACACGCATGTAATTCACTTCCTCCGACGCTCGGGGATGGCGACATCGCACGCCAGGCCAGGTGACTGCGGGCCGTTCTTCTCCTCCTGCCGCCGGTCCCGGAGCTCCGCGCGCTGGGCCGCTGGTCTCCCGCCGCCACAGTCCGGGACCCGAGCCCCGGCTGCATCCTGGCACCTGCTCTGCGGGCACTGCTGTGAGCCTCAGACCATACCGGGGCGCCTTCCGGGTGTTTTCTTTCCCGGGTTTTCCTGGAGTCTCTCGGAGTCGCCTCCCGCCGGCCCCGCTCTGGTCCCACCGCAGCGCATCCGCAGTGAGGTCCCCAGGCCCTCGCTTTCGGGGCGCTCACAGGTGCCGCTCTCGACCCGGCGCGGGCCTGGCCCTGACGCGGCAGCAGAAAGCAGGCCAGGCCCCCAGGGCACGGGGATCGCCGCAGCCGCCCCGCTCCGGTCCCCGCCTGGCGCCCAAGGGCACCCGGTTACGGCCCCCGCGGTCCTGGGCGCTTCTCGGCCGCTGCCTGGGACTGCTTGCCACTCGCCTCGCCGTCGCCGAGCGGGGTGGCTTCCTGGGTCCTGCCGGAGAAAGGTGCAAAGTCTAATGAGGATTTAACAAGACTCATAAATCAGGCGGCGCGCGTCTGGGCGGAAGGCTGGGCCGGTCCGGGGCGCGGGCCAGGTCAGGCCGCCAAGCCCTGCCACCGAGCTGCCGCCCTGCGTGGCCGCCCCGCCATCTGCATGGGAAGGAATGGCCATTGCTTAGGGCAGACCACTGGGCCGCCGCGCCCCCCTCCCTCCCGCTGCATCCCTGACACTGGACTAAGGTCGCCCCCATCCCAGGCGCCAAAGGCAGGGCCCCATGATGGCTCCTGGGAGTGGGGCGGTTCCTCAGCGGCTCTCAGTGGAACCGGAAAATCAGTGGAGAATTATTTCGGAAGAAATACGGTTGTAAATGGGGGTGCCGTGTGGTTTGTTCAATCTTATTCTCATGCAAATATAAAGGGGTTGGGTAGGGTAGCAAGCTGAACCTAAGCATTACCCAGGGGCCCAGGGGCCAGGGCAGGAGAAAAACGAAACATCTTCTTTTTTCGGAGCAGTGATAACAATCCCCTCCTATTTATAAAACAACTCCCCCCTCCCCAACCTAATGACACAGCAAGTAAACTTTCCATCAGGACTTGAAGACGGTTTAAAAGCCAAGTTATCCAAAATCCTATTTTCACCAACTCTCCTTCCTCCCTCCCCCGAGCACACCTGGGACTCAGGGCCTTTCTCTCTTCCCCATCCCCAGAGTCCCCTTCCTCCAGAGCCATGCCCTGCACACCCACAGGTGCATCCAGAGGCCCAGGTCCCAGCGGGGAGGGGGGGGGGCGCTGAAGGTCTTGGCTTTCCAGCCAGAGGGCCCCGGCCAACTGCCTCTGCCCAGCTCTGTGTGGTTGTGCCCATGACCGGGTCCAACTGCCAAGGGTCTGGGAGAGCGTCTCCTAGTGCTCCCTCGTGGACCAGAGATGGGAGTTGACCAGTTGGGGCTCCCATTAGGCCACGCAGCCACCCCTAGATCTGGCTTTGTACCGCTCCGAGGTCCTGCCTCTGGCTCAGTGTCCAGTGTCCTGGGGCTGGCCACGAGGAAGTGGGCGGCTCAGACCCAGCTCGGCCTCCACACCAGCAGTGGGGCCTGCCTGAGCCACCCTTTGCAAGGCAGGCACAGTGGCTGAGGGTCTGGAAAAGTGTTGGCCCCCCCCCCCCCCCCGCCAGCTTCCAGATCCAGGATTGCTGGGTTTTGATGGTAGGGCTGATGGAGCCCCACAGCTTGTCCCCAACCAGCACAGCCAGCTTGCAAAGGACTCCGCCCGGCCCTCCTATTTGCCAGTGCCTCTGCACCATCAGCGGGATGACCAGGATCCCAGGAAGGCTGGAGCTGAGCCTGAGCAAGTGAGCCAGGACATTGTCTTCTTTGGGGAAAGTTCTGGAATCTTTTAAAGCAGATATTCCAGTCAGGCCCAAGGTCCAGGCTCAGGCACCCTGGGTCTTCTGTTCTCAGCTACCCACACCCCCCCCACCGCCCCCCACTAACTATTTGATGCTGAAAAGGATTAGAGACCTGGCTGAAGAGATGACACTCCCCATGGGGATGCTGAGGCAGGAAATTCTGGATCCTTCCCTCCACTGGGACGGTTTGGAGGCAGTTTTCTTTTTCTTCTTCCCCTCCCCCTCCTTCTCCTTTTGTCCAGGTTGTTTCCTAGTCTTCCCCTTGCAAATTTTTGGGTAAACTCAAGGAGAAGGAAGGGAGGGGTGATCCGGGGATCAAGGCCCAGTTTCCGCTGGGGTCCAGCCCTGGCCCTGGCTGGGGAATGGTCACAGTCACCACTAGGGCACCTTTCTAGAGCTTCCTGGGGGAAGTCAACAGGCCTTTCTAGAGGCCCCTTCCCACTCACCTCCCTGATGTCTTCTAGAACCAACTATCATTTCATAACCCAAATGGAGGTGATACAGGGAGGGCACAGCAGGTGACTGGGGTCAGGACAAAGTCTGCCGCCCCCACCCCCCCAGGTTCTGATGGCTTCAGTACAACTGAAGTGGGCTGCTTGGGGTGGGGGGGAGTGATAAGGAGGCTATCAGTCCCTGTAGCTGAATCCTGACACTGACAAGTGTCTCTGGGCTTACAATTCCACCTGCTCTCCAGGTCACAGAAGAGGGCTTATCTCACCTGTATTTACCTGCCGGCCTGAAATGTGACACTGGAG